AACACTCTCTCAGATAACACGAGTGGAAGAAAGGTAAAAGTCCTGCCTCCGTGCTGACTGTTTTCTCATTTGCTTTCTGCTGAAGCTCTGGCCCCACGTTCCAGGAAAGGTATATGATCCCGCCATTATATTTCTCAAAGACGACCGCACACTAATGGTAACTATACGCCACTTTGGCCACTTTGCAAGAGCTGTGAAATGGAATTATCTGAATGGTGCAGATCACACACAGGAGTGTGCTGCATGTGTAAAGCCGTATTACTGTGCAACAACCCAGAATTAGTTCTAAACATAGGAAGTGGTCGGTTGTCGGTGTGGTCGGTGCTGACCTGAGGACATTTAGACATGATCACACCAGTGCAGGGGGGCAGCTTGTTATCCAGCTCAGTGTATGCCGAGAGAGAGAGAGAGAGAGGGAGAGAGAGGGGAGGGGAGCCAGAGACACATCTTGCTGCTTCTGCACTTACATTAATGTACTCTGTTTTGAAATACAGGTGATTCCTGCAGAGTTTTATTCCCCACTTTTCAGATAAATGTGAAAATATTGGACTCTGCACACTGAGTCAGACCGCTTTAGCTTGGTCGACCGTAGACAAAAGTTATTTATTATTTCCTCATTTCCTGTCAATTTCACGTGGAAACTAAACTAATATACAGAATGCAGGAAGCAAAATGTAAAAATTATCATCAGCACTATCATAAGTATGTAAAACTACAAGAAAGAATTTAACATTATTCAAACTTATAGAACAAAAACCCTGAAAAGCTGGGGTTCAGATTGCAAAAGAAGAATCGATCATTTCAAGTCTGCTAAAATAAATCAGTGTTGCACATTCACTCAAATTCTGTACCTACTTTTCTACTGAAGGTATTTGACTTTTATTAAAGTTTGTATTTTTTTAATTCAATGAAGTTAAATTGCACATTTAGCTTTGAGGAAAAAGGCGACCTCTCTAAGGTGTCTCTCTCTCTTGTGTTGGAGTATTTTTATAACATGCAGTTACTCTGTTCTTATGTAGCTAAAACAAACTCGGTGGATCATATGACGGCTGCACATTATTGGAATGAACTGACATTGCCATGTTTTCTTTCTATGATAAAATACAGGAAAAAAAAAAACTCTGGGCAAATGTATGTTTCTGCACAAATATCAAACCAAGAGAAACAACCGCCGTCTTAAAAATGTGTGACTATTATTCCCCAAACAAAACAACTTTCCTCATACTGTTCTTATACTTTCGACACACTTAGTTCAGCCTTCTACAAGCACAGCTGACACTAGGCCTGTGATATAGAAAAAGGAAACATGCAATAACTTTGTTAAAAATTGTGATATCGATAAAAAGATTGATAAACCGATTTTATGATGTACTCAAGATGTATTTCGCTATTTTTTCTTTTGCTGTTCTTAATGCTTTATGCAGAACCTCTGCTTACAAGAGACCCTTAGGTTTGTCAAAATGAACTCAGAAAATAGCCTTTCTGAGAGTAGCCGACAACTTTCAAAACTCAAATCAAAAATATTTGCAAGTTTGGACATTAACAGTTCTTCCAAGCAACGGGTAAAATGCATAGGTTAAATATTACATGATTTCCAAATGCATTGCTATAGATTCTGACTTTGGATATGCATTAATTGCAAATGCTTATGTTATTTAAAGTGATAAATTTGTGATTTATTGTGCAGCCCTTGATTGCTGAAATAAATGTACAGATAGATCTGCTGCATTAAATGCAGTGGGATGAGACTGCTGACTGTGTGTAGGCCACGAAACCTCAGATACAGATGGTCCTTTAGTAATGAGTCAGAATCTCTGCGTCTATGAAGGATAAAAATAACCCTGCAGCTCCTAAACGCTGGTTTGACATATGGGCTTAACTATCAAATGTTAAAACAATGACAGGTTTGTTCTTGGGTGTGTTTAATTTTGAGTTCATGTAAATCTTGCTGAAGACATTCTCACACACTGATTATATACACAGGTCACAGTTTGACTTGCAAATATATTTTGACTTTGTTTCCATACATCTCATTATTTCTTAAATGAAGACTGAATTGCTTTGAATATCTGGGGAGAGTATATGAAGGGTTTGATGCTGCAGAGGGATTAGTAAAGTACAAAATGTGCAGTTTTCCAGGTTATTGCAGTAAATAAACTCAGTCTGGTCTGTTTGCTCAAAGTGGTCCCTTGGGTCTAATGTCCAGCCTGTTGTGAGTGTTTGTAATGCACTGCAGATGTTGCGTGTAAAATAAATAGTATACTTACAATGCATGAAGGAGGTGGGCTCATAATGAGACATTTTGGCTTTAATCAACCTTCTCAAAGTCTAAAGAGAAGCAGAAATATGTCTGTTACTGCAAAACAATTTACATTTAATAAAAACATGCAGGTTATTCCGTCTGGTCTCCTTGGATAGGATGGGGATTTGGTCTAACTTGAGGGCCTTTCTTCACACACTGTGGACTAACCTTTACATGCTGTAGCTGTGTATGTGCGCGCTTCAACAATCTCTCTCACGCACACACATTTAGGCAGGAATTATACTTGTCTGTATGGTTTGTTAGCACTCAGGAGATAAAACTTTACATGTTGCTCCCAATTAGCACAGCAGTGACCGTGCACTGTCTCCCGTGCTCGGCTTCCTCCTCTTGAAGAGGGGGCTATTTATGTGAAGACTCATGAGAGTGTGAGAATTGAGGCGAGAGAGAAGAGATATGGACTGTGCAAGATAGTGCGCGTGTTACGAGAGGGAAAGAGAAAGAGAGGGAGTGAAAGACGGAGATAGAGAGAAAAAGGGAGAATTGAAATGGCTTAAGCATCCATTTTGAGAAGAGAGACAGGTCCTATTAACATTTAACAGCGTTTGTGCAACTTGGTTGCTGAGGTTATGATGCAAATGAGGAGGAATTAAAAGTGGCCAGAGGTTTGTCATTGATGGATTGCAGTCTGGCAGTGCTCACACTTCGTAGTGTCCATCAGAGGCGATTACTGTGTAATTAAACCTTATTTCTGGACTCTCTAGTGCATAATTACTTTGTGAATGTAACCATCATCTAAAAAGCTACAAAAATGCTTTACCATTTAGTCCAGCAGTCAGCTCCACAAGCCTGTGTCAGATATAGCCATCAGACACAGCAAAAAGAACTGTCACTTTTAATAAGAGGGAAAAAATTAAATGAAACAGTATGCTTATTACTGAAAAATTAGGCTTTCAAGAGTCTTTTCTGTTATTTGCATAATTTATCCCCCAGCCCCACCCTGCACACACACACACACACACACACACACACACACACATATATAAATATATATATATATGTACACACACAGACACAGACACACACACACGCACAGTACAAGCTTTAGGCAATTTCCCGCACATTTAAATAGATTGCACATTTAAGGCTACTTAAGGAAAATTATCACTTTGCATATTTTAATTGTTATGAAGGAAGTGATTTGAGAGAGGTCTGTGGCTCATCCTCTTGAGCCGTGCGCTTGCCGAGCTGTCTGATTCGGCTGCTCGGGCGCTGCAGCTCAGCAGATAACCTCCGAGTTCACACACATCCACTCCAGTTTCATCAGAATGCAAATGAAGCACAGAACACTGGGACAAGTGGATCTTTGATATTTACAAAATAGCCACTAATAACTTGAGTGTAATTTGTTTGACTCAACTTTATTTTGCTCTTATCAGGCCGGATTTTTTTCCCTTCCTTCCTCCTGGTCAAATGGCTGCTGTTTAAAAATTCAGTGGAGAGAAACAAAGGGCGTGTTTGCTGCTAGGATTTCAGAGACAGCAGGATGGAGGAAGGATGTGCACTGAATGTATCTCTGTGTATATCTGTCCATCTCGCTTCCTCTTGTAAGAGACATGCAACTGGTGCACAAACCAAAGACAGACACTGTGAGGTGTTTGACAAGAAAATAAAGTATGAACATGGATAAGTGGCCAGGTGTTTGGATACTGGGTGAGTCTGTTGGGAAACTTATGATAGAGACTCAGTTAGAGACTTAGATAGAGACTTTAAAGTGTCATTGATGGTAGGAATATACTGTGTTATTGAAAATGGAGCATTTTTTTACCACATATATCCTCATTTTTTGAATAATTACCTCTTAATTTAGGGTGTTTTTCAGTATAATGTTAAAAATGTAACATTGTTATATTAAGTAGCACAGCAAATTAAATGCCGTACTAACATAACACTACTTGTTTTGACCAAAAAGGTGTAAATTCTAGTTAACCACTGATTTGACAAGGCAAAGACATTTTTAAAGGAATAATACGTCTTTTTTTTCATCAAAAATGTTAAGGTTGTCTTCTTTTAAGTCTCAGAAATTAATGTCTGCACTTAACTAATAGCTCGAATAGGCTTGGTAAAATATTCCTTTATCAATGGGAGGCTTTGATGCTTTATTGTTAAGAGGTTTTAATGTACAAAAGCTGACCGCTGCTTGTATAGGAGTGTTTTCAGATCCATTTCACATCCCCAAGTTTTGTAAAACCCCTTTCACTCAATTCTTCCTTTAGAAATTATTTGGAAAATAAAAGTACAGTTTGTTTTTTTACATTTTGGGTGCAGAGTATGGATGTTTCCCCTAATACACAACAAAGCCCATCATTAATTTGATGTCTTTTCTCTCGACATCCTGTGTTTTTCTGCTCCATGTAAAGCAGCTATAAATTTAAGATCTAATGATAAATTCCACCCACAGCTGAATTACTAACTCTGACACAATATAGTGTGTTTAATTACACAGAAACTTCCCACACATGTGACACCCACTACTGAATGATACCACGGAAGATACATTTTAAGCATAGCTCTGCATTTTCTAATAGCTAGTATGGATTTATAAATGACTACAGAGCATGAGATGGATACTGGTGGGAGTGCAATTAAAAGTATGCCTCTGTAAACTGCTGCAAAGTGAATTACATTCACTGTTGTTTTCATTAAACAGCGGTGAAACAAAGTTGATGTGGATCAAATACTGCTTACACAAGAAGCTTGTAATGGAAATAGCACAGGCTGCAATCATCACACCATTGCAAATTTAATCAAGTAAAGGTACAAAATGCATCCAGTTTTCAGGAAAAAAAGAAAACATCTTTATTCAGTATTTCAATAACTTTTATGTACCTTGAAATTAAAATACATTTAAATCGACTGTACTGTAAGTATGGCAATACATACACACATATAAACATGTATGTGGCTGCATTTTTTGTATGTATGCTGTATATCATTAGCAAATGTACAATAGGTACAGCTATGTGCAAGTTTATTCTCTGTACATGGATATGAAAAGTAAAAAGTCAGATTTCCATTTCGTAGTGTAATCCCTTCACACTTGCAAGTGCACATACATACACATTAACATGCGCACTACAATATTAACATAGGGTTAAAGCAATTTGTTACTGTTTAGGAAATGGATTTGCATTGGTGACCTTTTGTAGGAGCCCCACGCAGAACACAACTGAATCAAACCATGATATAAACTGTACGTCAGTATGTGCAGGTTCACTTCATATTTGCCCTCAAGGTGCCTTATTTTCTGTGATTTGTACTTGACAGTGTAAAGACAGTCGTTTTGAGGTAAACTGCTCAGATTCAAGGGCAAGCTTTCTTTTTTCTCTTTTTTTTTTTGTTCCTGTTTTATTTTTTTTTATTTTTTTTTTCCATTTTTATCCACAAATGCATGACATTCAAAATGACAGGACATAAGTACTACATGTACAATATGTAGCAATGAGGTAGAAATGGTTATAAAGACTGCTGGACAATAAAACTACATAAAAAGTCATCAGCTGTTCTAAGCAAAAATGTAATGATAGAAAACCGACAGAAAAAAATACAAGTTGGCGTCACTGTGAGACTCGATGTGCTTATCAGAGGTTCTGCTCAGGTGTTGTTTGTGACTGTAGGCTCTTATTTCTCACATCACCCCCTATATGATTAATAACTGCAAACACTTAAAGCATGTTCAATACACAAACTACCAAAGCAGTGCGTTATAGTTTGCCTCATATCTTCTGCAGGGGGTTTAACTGTTTGTGGGTCTCACAAAATTTAGAGAAAAGACGTAACTTCTTTTCCATGTGCCTTTTGTTACACTGTGCTATAATGCCAATTTTAAAAAAAGCTAATTAATTGAAAAGACCTGTTGTTATGGAGTGATTACAAGTACTACTTAAATGGAGTGGAAATTTCCCCTTTTTAACAATCATCTCTCTGTAAGTCCGTGAACAGTCGACCTCTTAAACTTGTGAAATCTGCTCTTGTTAACGGCACTTGTGGCTTCTTATCACCTTCTTGTTGAAAAATCCTTGCAATGAGCAAAATGAATTGTTTTAAGTGAGCAATCTGGGACAAGGAGAACTATTCTATTCCAGTGTGTGTGACGTTTTCTAACAGATTAGCCACATTTGCATGACTGTGCATAAAACTGGAACACAAATGCTTCACTGAAGTCACATTTCTTGAAAATATTTCATATAATGTCGCACAATAACTGAATCCCCAATGAAAGTGTTAAAAATTTGCTGAAGTTAAGGACACTGAAATTCACATGTCTTTAAAACACTTCAGAATATTGAAAAGAAAGCTGTTCTACTTTGGCTTCAAGAAAAGATTCACCCAATTACCACCTCTAAGTGCAAAAATAGATGACACAATATTAGAAGGAGCTCTCTGTTCATTTTGTACATTTCCACTTAAATCAGTAAAAAAAGTCTTCTTGAAAAGCGTTCTCCCGTCAAAGATATGCATGTGGAACTCAAGTGTGATTCATTTTCAAACCTTGCTGTGCAGTTTTATGTGAAAACAGATTTGGCACTGGCAGTTAAAGCGAAACACTTTTGTACAGCGTTCGTCAAAACAAAGAGTCCAACATGAAGCCTGGAGATGTGAACATGAAACCTTCTAATCCCACATTGAAATAAAAATGATTCAGGATTGTTAAGGTTGGACTCAACTGACAAACAACACTTAGAAAAACAAGCAGAACATGCATTCGTATTCTTGGCTGTGGTCTGATTAGTTACATACAGGTACCTTTTATTCAACAAATAGTTCTGCTGCAGGGGTAACCCAGGTGTGGAGGGTTGACTGAACTTTTTACCAATTACTGTCACCTTGAGTGGACCCATTGGAAATACCGTACACATACTGTATATGTTATAACATTATAGGGATTATGTATAATGAGCTGGTGGTCATGGGAAATAGAATTCCAACACAGAGAGAGACCACCTTGAAGGGGCATTACTAGCTCATTGTACAGTATCCTGCTTATTACCCGGCCACTATCAAATAAACTGACCATTAATATTGACTTATGAGTTCAAACTAGCTCTCTCACCTATTACAGGTCACATTAAAGATGATAGTAATGGTAAACAGTAAAGTAAGAGCGTTAGCCTTTTTCTATCCGAATCTGAACGGATGCAGAAAATTACAGCAGCATCTGTACATGGTCCTCTTTATAACTTTCTTTTAGCCTTTTCTTGACACTCAGCTAGTCCAGTATCACTACTGAGATATAGGTTTGATGTCTGATTTCTTCAATTTGGTGGATGTCTTCTTCACTCAGCTCCTTGTGTTTTAACATCCTATTAATTATAAATCTACTTTAGTGTGCTTCAAATACATTAATATAGAAAAGCCACCACCTGCTCTACCATTGCTAATGGAGACTTTTATCATTTTTTGTCAAACTGTCAATGAGGAGGGGTAAAAATACCAGCTGTATAAGTGTGTCAGACTCTTTTCCATAGGTTGATTTGAGGTTGCTTCCAGTCTTGCTTTTATTATCTACAATTAACAGTTAATGATAAGGGTTTCGACCAATCAGAGCCAGGTGATTAGTAGGTCGGGTAATAATTTCAAATAAGGTAACATGAATCAAGTATGAGATTTAGCGCCCAGCTTTTTTCTGCTGTGTAATTTCTCTTTATTTTTTGATCCTCCAGGTACATCCTAGTGCAGCTCTAGAGGAGTTAATGATACCAAAACAAGACGGCATTTTCAATAATAAAAACAGAACAAGAAAAACGTGCAATAATAGTCAACAAACATGAGGGGAACTCCTTTGAAAAACAAACACAAGGTCCTTTTAGTGCCTCTGCAGTATAACACACCTCCACCTACAGTGCTCTCTACTTCAGTGGCATTTTTCATTGTGCGAGTGCTTTGCTTTCCTTACTGCTCCGAGGACGTAATACATTCAATAATGTTTGCACTCGATGATTCTGCTGTCAGTCCAAATTTTTCAATGCTGAGCAGGAATATACTGATAAATGGCAGCATGTTGTGATTGATATGAACCGTAAACACAACATTTTAAACATGACAATGACAACATGAGAATGAAAATAACATTTCAACTTGCCTTTAAGATATGCGCTTAAAAAGGAATGCCACTCAATTCATGAACGTCACATTTAAAGCCAAACCAAATCTGCTCTAGGTTAAATATTAAAATGACAGGAAAGCTTTTAAGGCAGGGAATGCATGCCTAACACTGTTGCACATGTAGATGTATTATATTCAGGGGCGAATGAGCAATTGCAATAAGATCTACTGGTGAATATTACCTAAAACAGACCTAAGGCAAAGGCATGGTGTGTCTCAAACCAGGTACTCAGTGGTATTCCCCTTTAAGTGCATTATGTGGTGAGAAATCTTAGTTATCACAAAGTAAAGCTAATAGATTTTGCACACAATGAAACACAGTTTGGTGTTCTCTCAGAAGGTTTCCTCATCAAACAAGCAGAATAGGTGCTGACATTTTGCTGTCTTCTTGAATTTTTCTTTCAGAGATAAGTAACAAACTGAGGTAGAAAGGAACTTAGGCTATACATAATCCTTATGTTTCATTAATGATAAAGCAGCAGCAGGATGGAATGAAATAGCTCGGGGCGGTTGTCTTCCTCAACCCCGAGATGTTTGTCTGCACCTTTCTCGAATTTCTCGCAGCTTTGCATCGCCACAATCTAAAGCACAAAAAACCCAAACAAATTACTTTTTTGTCTTGTACATAATGCAGAATTACTTTCATACATTCATCACAGGAACCTTCACATTTCATCTCAAGCTTTTTGAGGTATTATATAGCCTTTCTCTGTTTAAAGATGGAATTTCAAATTCAAGCCAAATGCTCTTGTAGTGTGTTTTACACAAGCTTATGAGGTACTATACATATCAGTATCACTTTCCTGAGTTTTCAAATAGAGAACATCAAAAGAAATAATGGTAGAATTGTATATGATTTTTAACACTCTGATTTACTGTAACAATAATTCAACAGCAATTACATGGGAATGTACTGTTTGGACTGAAGTCACACCATAAAGTAGTGGTTGATTTTTTTGATTTCATCTACAGTGGAAAGGCTATTACGGCAACCAAGTACGGTAATGTTATTGTAATCAAGGATAAACTCGGATAAAACCTGTGTTTGGTAATGAAGACTGACTGTAATTATGTCAATAAATGTAATTTATCTCAAATTAACCACAACTGTTCACAGAGAGCACAAAACAGACACCGCTGTAGAACACCGTTCTAATGGAAAAGAGAAAGCAAGTTTTTTGTCTTGTTTTAAAGCTTTTTATATTAGCACATGTCACCAACAAAGATTGTGAGGCAAAAAGAAAAAAACTTAGACAGCACCACCGTAGGCACTTGATAGCAACTAAATCTCGAGATCAGCAGAATAGTATGTATATATATTTATATATATGTATATACAAAAACAGGGGGCATTTTCTCCAGGTGGTTTCAGTGAGCTCATGTCAACCACCGTATAAAGCATTTAACTTTGACCAATTCCTCATGTCAGGACTGTGATCTTCAGTCTGAAACCTGTAAGGAAAACCCCTTTGCTGTATGGTATGCTAGTGTCACCATAGGTTGTTTTTTTCTGTTGCCAGAAGGACAAACATGTATTTGTACTCAACTAAAGAAACTGTGTTCAGTGGTTCCCCCTCATTGACTACAACCAAACATTTTATTCCACTCAGTGTACATGTCAAGTTCTTTCTGTGATATGCTTGGTCGAAATTTGCAAAACACATTATCAAAGTCTTGGTAGGAGACGGGTCTCATCTGAGTGGGATGGATACTTGACAGGTCTGTACCAGGGATGCCATGGAGAGGACCTACCACGGCCTCTTGACACAGCTGGGTCACGTCCAGTCCTGAAAAGCCCTCTGTCCTTTGAACCAGTAGTGACATCTCTTTGTCACTGAGACAGTAGTTGTGCTGTGAGAGCAGTTGGCTGATTATCTGGTGTCGTGCCGTCCCATCGGGCAAGGGGATGAGCAACCGCTTGGTAAAGTACCTCCGTAGGGACTCTGGGATCTCTTCAGGCTTGTTAGTAGAGCAGACCACGAGGATGTGGTCCTCAGTGGAGGTCAGGATACTGTCGAGCTGCATGAGGAGCTCAGCTTTGAGGCGGTTCACTGGGCTCTCCTCGCTGAGCTGGGCCGACAGCAGCAGGTCCACTTCTCTGATGAACACCACCGCTGGTTGGCGACAACGGGCGACCAAGAAGGAAGCCTGGATTATCTTGTCCCCTTCTGCAAGCCATTTGGTCACCAGAGCTGAGCCGCTGAGTCGCAAGAAGGCAGCGCCCAATTGGCTGGCCATGCACTGGGCAAGAAGTGTTCTACCAGTTCCCTGAGGTCCAAATAAAAGGAGGCTCCGAGGTAATGTTGCAAGTCCACTAAACATATCTGGTCTAAGAATTGGCCACAGTATCTCCTCTTTCATGGCAGCTTTGGCCATTTCAAGACCAGCGATGTCGCTCCAGTCCACCGGAGGACCTTGCTGAAGGATTTCTGTGGTCACCATCTCCACCAAGTTGGAGTCACTGTTTTTCAGTTGTTCCTCTGCAGCATGGATGGACGAGGTAGCCGAACCAATGTCAGGCTCTGTTAGGGAGTGAGAGAGGTGCTGTCTGTGCTCTTCGGGTTGCTCACTCATGATGGGGGATCCAAACTTGTTATAGGGCTCACCAGTTCTGAGATCACCCACAGAGCTTTTGGTTGATCCATAGGATGGAGGTGTTAGTGCTCTGCCGGAGTGAACCATAAATTTTCTATGTTGATCAGAGGACATGGGCTGTTTGGTTGGCTTAAACGCCAAAGATGAAGCCTCAGGGTTTCTGTCAAAACCATTTCCCCTGTTTGAGTCTGAGACGCTGTCTGCTATTCTGTACATTGGGCTCTGTGAGGAGCGCTGTTGGTTGTAGTTGAAATTACCATAGCTGGAGTCCATATCTCCATGTCCACTCATGTAGAAAGCTTTTCGTTTTAATGAGCTGGATGTGCTGCCATTCAAAGGTGTTGGTGCAATTGGTGTATGATTATGGGACTGGTAGGTGTAGCCAGGCAGCGTGGAGGGGGGAATTGGGGTAGGAGCTGCAATGCCGGACGGGAGATAAGCAGAAGGAGGGGGGGCTCCCCCTGGGCTGTAACCAGGGCCAACAGCAGTCTGAGAAGGATACCCTGTTGGAGGATAATTGTAGTTGGGGAGGTTTGGAGACCCACCGTTGTAGCTTGGTACTAAGGTAGGGGGAGGAGGCGGGGGAGGGGGTTGTAAGAGCCCGGCGCTGTGCAAAGGGGAGGGGTGAGGAGAAGGGAGGGCTGGGGTACTCTGGCCACTGTAGCTAGAGTGCAGGTAGGAGCCGTTGTAGCTGGCAGTATATTCCTGAGAGGGGAGGCCCGAGTGAAGAGTAGTGGCTGTGTGGCTCCCACAGTTACTGCTGGAATAACTCGGCTCAGACAAGCTGCTGGCCACCCCTGGGGAGCTGCCTATGCTAGCAGACACATCTGTAGGGGGTAGGGCAGCTGTCATTCCAGCTTTGCTCACAGATATAACATCTGGAGCACAGTTCATTGGGTAAATCCCCTCCTGCCAGGACTCATTCTCTGACTTTCGTCCATTCATGAGTCCGGTGGTGCTATCAGAGTAGGAACACAGCAGGGCTCTTTCATTTGGGCCCTCTAGGATCCCAGAGTACTTCTCTGCATACTTCTTTAGCAGATTGGAGGCAGTCAGTGCGGAGATGTCGTCGTTGGCCCACGCATACTGGTAGGTTCGCTGTAAGTGCCCCCGGTAGGCCTCTACTTTGTGTGCAGGGGAGCGGGTGGTGGATGAGATGTCAAAGTGTTGTTCTGCCCATTGTGTGTGCTCTGGGGTCCACTGCATCTTTAGACCTAAATATCCAGCATAAGGAAGAAATATGTCAAAGAAGGCACTAAATAATTGGCTATAATAGTTCAAAAAACTACTCAGACATTTTGAAATGTTACAAAGCCACCAAATGAAGCAGAAAATCTCTGCAATGCATGAATTAGTTAAGTGACAAATAGATAGAAATTAACAAATAAAAAGAGAAATAATATAAATTTTCAGAATGTACCGTAAATTCCTAACTCAACTCATTGCTAACTGAACAAGCATCATGGTCAGTATGAGCATGATGGACCAGATACCTGCTTAGCACTGTATAATCCACCCAACACAGAGCAGAATGACACAGACATTGAGGGTCAGTCTATAATCCAACTCTCATCTGAGGCATTCTGAGACAGTTTCAAATCTGCTTGGAGGAGAGCAGCAAAGCAATCTTCCTTGGCAGCGCTCTGTTGCTTTCATCACACAAACCTCTCAGCCCAGCATGAATTACATCCACATTCAGTCTGCCTACTGCTTCCCAGTCCACAGAGTGAAGGAAGGGGGGAAAAAAACATGCTTCACTTGTCTTTTTCTCTGCAGCTTGTCTCAGCCTCTCTGTATGGCCTTAAGGGTTTGAATGACAGAAATAATCATGTAAAATCCCAGTCAATCTGAAAATAAAGGTTTTTAACCGTGCTGCCGTCTGCTTGGGATTAACAGGGATAAATTACCACCAAATAATTCACACTATAAGGGGTTTACAGCTCAGAACAATAAGGCATAGTTTAAAAAAAAGTCTTATAATCAACTCTAATCTCACCAGAAGCTACAAGAAGATATGAAAAGACATGCGCTTAACTAAACTTCCATGCCCTTGTAAGTCAGGCGCTACAGTGCTATACTTTCTACTCCAGTGGGTTAAGTCCACATCACAGGATTTAGGCAGCAAACAGCCACTGTCCAGAGGCAGATTGCAAATACAGTGTTTGTCTGCAGATTCCCTTCTGACTCCCTCCCAGCTATTCGCCCACCCGCCACACTAGACACCAGGAGCTAATTAGCAGGATGATGCTGCACTAATTGTGTTAATTTACAAGGTTTTAGTCAAAAGGATCCATGCTATGCCTCACATGGTTGTCAACCATCCAAGCTAATGATTAAGAAGAAGAGCTCGAGGCAAAAAGCCCAGGCAGGCAAATATGTTAGCCATACTGTGCTTGAAGAGACAGGTTCATACAGAAAATAGAATATGTTATCACAGGGGACAGTGATGAGGACAGCAACAATTAAAAGAATAACTCCATGTCTTTCATGCAAATCTAAACCCTTTCTACAAGCATTTGCATGAACTGAGGAAAATGTATGAATGACACCCTTGAGAATAACAAGTCTCTGGTTGCTGCAGCAGACCCATGTGCATTCAATGATGAGCCACCCACTATATTCTAGGTCAGCCCATTGTGTTAGCTCTGTAGGTGGTTGCAAAGAGAAAGTAAGACTTTTGAAGAGGAATATTATTTTTTTCCAGTGCAGCCTGTCAAACATACCTGGTACTTTTATCCCTCTTGTCAAATAACTACATGAAAACACCTTTTTAACAAACTGTTAAATACATATTTTTTTTCCACATAACTGCTGAGAAAATGTTCCCTTCCAAACAAACAAAACAGTATTGGGCAATAGCAACGAACGCTTTGCCTGCCAAAAAAAAAAAAAACTCGCAGCTCTCACAGCTTTTCTTGACACCACAGAGCAAGTATAAGAATGATTTTTTTTTTCTTCTGAAAATCATTCACTTGAGTTCATTAACACTCAAGGCGCTTTTTTCAATAACAAAGTTGCACACGGCTTATTGAGTGAGTTTGCTCCATTATTATAAATGCTCTCCAAACAATGGACCACTTTAGACAATCAAAGAAGTGCTACTCGCAAAGTGTACTTGAGATCTTCTCGGAGCATCAGGTGTTTTTTTTTTTTTTTTTTTTAAGTGGAAACCATCCAAGGCGATTACATAAAGACAGCTTAAAACAGACGTTTACTTCCTATATCAAAAAATAACTTGAACCCTGTTTGGAGGCTTTTACCTTTCTACAGGTAAAATAAGTCCATTCTATTAATATACAACCTACGCAGAAAAACACAAAGATGCAGGGCTTTTCAAATAACAAAAGAGTCTCAATATTATGTAATAGATGTAACTACATGATTAAACATTTTCACCCTTGTTAGTGAATAGCAGAATAACTCATCCAATAAGTGAATTATTCATGTTTCTATTGGGCTTAAACCGTACTGCAGCCACCAACCACTGACTGAGGCTGTAGCCCTGCTTAATAACTACTTCAGTAATGCCATAATAACCTACTATCTGGATGTAAACCATCCCAGATGGCATCTTGGGTTATGATGTAAAAAAAGGAGGTTAGGTTGTGTGTAACCAGCACAGGTATGTGGATGTTAAACTGCACAAAGGACCAAATGCTGGTGGTGGCATTTAACATAATAAGAGAAACCTCAAATCTCTTGTATTTTTTATTTTACCCTTAAAAATCTCGTTCTGCTTTTTGACACCATCTCATGTATTGCTGATTGAGAATTTCTGCTGTAGAAAATGAATAAAAAAACGTGGTGGTCGGTTCATCTCTTAATTGGACACCTGCGCTTTGGCAGCACTTTTAGGAATCAATAATTATAATAAAGTCATAATTAGGTCATGCTTGCATTTGTAGGTTAAAAGTAGACATGAGTTTTAACATCAGTCTAATTGATAATCTGCCAAAAAATCCCTCTCAGGAGCTTTTAATAAGCTGTGCTCATTTTTGACTATTTTGTGAGAGCTTTCGTACCTTTGGACAAGTCAGTCTAAAATTCAGTTTTAGCTCCTGGTGGATTATTGCTTTTGGCACATCCCCAGTCACACCACAATATATGTGTCTTTGGTGCTATTGTTTGTTAGTGTTCAATGATTCAGATATCTGTGAAAAAATTAGACCTATTTGTTTTTCTTTTTAACAAGGGTAATGGAACAGATAGTAAATTTGTCCATTCACATCTACACATACAAACATGAACACATAAATAAACGCACATGAGTGAACACATTAGCATTAGTGCATTAGCATAATGATCCTTTACTTTTGAAACACCGTCAAATGTTGTCCTTTATTCCACCTGCCTGTCAAACTCTAATACAACATCCACAGGTTCCTTTGTCTTTCTTTGAAATGGTATAATTACAGAGCGCTCCATTAGTGGAGTGTTTTCAGATCGCCTCTGGGCTCCAGCTCAGATTTCCCTTATCAGCCACCGACAAATACAGCCTTTGTTAGGACTATTGTGATTGTCAATTCATAGGTCTGAATGAACCTCTTGGGTGTGTTTGAGATGATGCTAATAGAGAGAAATAATCTTTTTTAAGTCTGGCGTTTATCCAGTTTTTATCTGGTTTATGTCATATATTTCACACCAGTTTGAGCCAAAATGCTTTTGACATGAGATGCTATGGTCTTACGCGACTCCATGGTGTTTAATTTCTGGTTCAGTGATCATCAATGAAACAGAAGATGCTGACCTTTTTGGGAACTATTAATCTGGTAGCCTGGGTCCGTTTTTTAAGCAAACAAGAGTGGGCCTCCACTCTGTCCATCCAATTTCCCAGTGCGTAAATTGGACCGCCGCTTGCACAGTTCTCTATTCATTACTGTGCTGCTGAAAGGAAACACAGAGGTGGCGGAGCCGTTTTCTTTTCCCCCTTTTGTATGTGTGAGCGTGAGTGTACGTATGTGCAAGAGAGAGTGGGAGAGATAGAGAGAAGGGGAGAGAAAATGCCTTCCAGGAGGATTCCCAAGCATAAAGGGCTGGACTTTCCTTCCTCTCTTTCCAATACGGGGGAGGGGAAGATGGGAGGGTAGAGGGAAAAGAGGGAAGTGAAAGCTGTCGTAATTGAAATGTGGCCTAATCAGACTCATTACCATTTTTACCAATTTGCACCACCAAAGATGCCTATTAGGTAACTGTGTTTAATAAGCCGCTCTTTAGAAAACTAACTGTAATGAGCTCTTTAAAGTCAGACTTGAGCGTGATTATGTGCTGGAAGTGTTTTGCTGTGCCAAAGCAGACTGGTACATTTAGTCATGTACAATGTCATAATTAAACTGCACAAACTCTGCACTTCACACTGCACAATAGTCCCAGCTGAGGCCGCAGACATGCTGAAAAGTATTTATAATTACTGATCATTACAACCCTGGGATTTTCATTGCTGGACGTAAACATAATTATGGGAGCTTTTGCTTTTATTCTGCACACACAGGCCACTCCACTTGACAAGCGTGCAAATATTGCAGACAGACAGTAATTACGTTTATAAATAAAAACAAGCTCATATTCATATTCAAATTCAGCCGCGTTACTCCAAGAGTGGGAGGGGCAAAACTTTCCAACACATTGTGAAATGGTAATCGGTCCGCCTTCAGAGCTCCATTCATCTCACATATCAAGTTAAGACTATTTAAACTCAATTTAGAGCTCCATGTGGCAGTAATTCCAATCTTTAGGCGGCAGGGTGCCATTTAACCCCTCATTTAGAAAAGATATGCCTCCCTCAGTCACTGTCTTCTCCAGGGCTGCTGCCCATACATTTCAGTCTGGCCACCCGTGGAAGCAAATTATTACATCTCCATGCGATCCAAAAACACAGACTACAGCTGACTCTGTACCAATCTGAACTTAAACGGTGGGAAAATGACTGAGCAAACACTCACTTAGAGTATGTGCTTTGAAGCTGACCTTCTAGTCAGGCCGACAGCTTCTTGTGCAGCATGTTTAAGATTGTTCGAGATGTACCTGATGACCTACTGCTGTAGCTGCATGTACCTTTATGACTGAATAAATGGCACATAAATCAACTGTATATGGCAACATGTCGGACATTAATGAAGATTAAATCAACAAACAGTCAATCAAATTACATCTACGTAATAGAAGATGAGATTGAACATTGAAAAAAACGTTAAAAGTGATCATTCATGTAACTAGATGAACATCAGGAATGAGAGATACACCGATGCAATTTTTTTTGCAATATAAAACGATCCCTGGCTAACGTATCGGCTGATATCCGATACCGACCCAATACTACTGTTGAGTGAATGAACTGTATACCTTGCACTGTTAGTGAAGGCATCAGGCTTGACATTAGCCTTATTAAAAAAAAGGTAACAAATTAACACAGATATACATTTACTTAATATTATTTATTAACAAATTGCACATTAGCACACAGCAAAAAGAAGTAAGACTTCCATGTAAACATTTAGTACAAAAGGATAGACAGACATAGAATATAGAGCAAACAGAATCGCTGTGTGGCTGTGGATCGGATCGCTGGATTGGTGTCATTCATCAGATATCCGATCCAGTTAATTTGTCAATATCTGAGCCGATATCCGATTCCAAATATCGGATCGGTGCATCCGTATTATGAATTTGTTTTTCAGCTGAAAGGATTTCAAAGATGCACTCTTGGATAAACAGGGACAAAAAGCACTCATTTAACAAGATGAAGAGTCTGATAACTGTATTCACTGACAGCAGCATTATACGAATTGAAGAGCTGAAACATAACAGAACTACTCTTGCGGTTTGTTTTTCTTTAATAATTTGTTAAATCATTTGTTAAGGATGATTTCTGCTGGACTACAGAGAACCAGAGTCATGTAAGGATATATGTGCAACAACATCTGACCTGTGATAAATGGTTACTGGATTAATTGCAGTAATGAATAATTAAGTGATCCACTAAAGGTTGTCATATTTCATCATGTCTAATTACTCCAGATTTGTATGTGCTGTTTCCATCTCTGAGTATGAAGTCTAATATTTATCTTTTTTTACCCTAAAACATAAAAAGAGGGATGCTGTCTTTTGTTACTAACTCCATGAGGAAGCTTCACCATCATGCATACTAAGTTAATGCAACCCAGCAGATCCCACCCCTCTGTGCAGGCACTGAGATCAGCCTGTAAAAACTGCTGCTGCTGCAGACGTGACCCCGGTCTGACTCCTTCGCCGTACTCTTTGCCAACTGTGTCTCAGAGAGCACATGGACAAAAAAGTTAAATAAATAAATCATGTCATTATAGTACAACTATTTTCAAGTGAAGCAGAACAGGCTTTGTTTTCTAACTAAAGGAATTGTTTTAAATAAAACTATGAAAACCTAAAGTGGTGACTGTAAGAAAAACCCATAATCCAAGCTGTAGTCCTAAATGAGGCACAAATATGGCCCTCAGCTGCATGGTTTCACCTCTAAATGTAAGAGTATATCTCACCACGCCAGTCTCATCCATCTTTGAGTGTGCATGTCTCATGTTAAAGAGAACCTGCTCCCCAGTGAGTTTAAAATTTATATGCTCAAAAGCAACTTAAAAATGTTTACTAGCAAAAGGCTGTTGATTTAAAAAGCGTATCTAAAATGTTCACTTGCATGCAAGAGCCAGCAAAATCCAGAAAAAGACCTGTGGTTAAAGCTGGCATGTCCTTTCATTGGAGTGAATACCAGCATTGTTGTTTATTTTGAGTCAATCCCACATACAGTACACTATCCTCCTGCAGTAAATACCAAACTAACACACAGCGTCTATCAACCTGGAGCTGAAAAAAGTCCCTAACAAACCAAACAATCGCTCCTGTTTCATAAAGACTGATAAGAAACTCTACGCCTTGGATGGTATAGAAAATAACGTGGCATTTTTTCTGACCTGCCTTTAACAGTTAATAATTAGAAACAACAATGGTGTCGCAGCTGAGTGACATGAACAGAAAAATAGGAAAAGAAGGAAGCTTTTGGCTTTGTTATTCTCATTGTATCTGTTGACAATATATATAATACTCTATATATTCAAGATGAGGAACAAAAGACACAATGAAAGACACAATATCCTTGGTGTTTCTTTTTTTTTTGCATGAGCTTTTCTCTTTTTTCTATACTGCACAACCTTTTGGGTAAATGCTCGATCATTTACAGAAAACTCAGACTGTTGTTAGTGACAGCATCTTTTGTCAACACTTTCCTTTCCATGAAGGTAAACAACATACTATGCTGCAAACTGTACAGTGATTGTCAGTGTGCACAGATATACTACAGTCCTCAGTTTGATATATATGCACTGGATATTCTCACATAAGTTCTGGGCTGAGCTGATGGTAAAGTCTTTGCAGAGGCAAACATGCATTTTCTGGTATTTCTCATACTTGTGTGTGAGGCAGTAAAATGTGGAGGTTGAGGGATCCTCTGAGCTGTCATTCCTCTGTCTCACTGATGCTAATTAAACCAGGACTCTTCAGGCCAAGAGGCCCCTGAGGCTACGTCTTCTATTACTACCATAAGTACAGCTAAATCCACACACATGCTAAACTAACAGCTCTCCAAACACAAGGAGAACTTGTACACTGAATAAAAGTAAGACAATTACAGGAGACAGGCTTCAGAGTGTTCTGTAGTGCATAATACTGATGAATACTCAAATGGCTTGTTAGTTAAAAGAATAAAAGTCGTTGGATTGTGGAGCACTTGGCGAAACTTGTACAGTAGAGGCAGTGCTTTTTACGAGCCTTTGTGAACTTGAGGCTGCTCTGCCTCTCGGGATCACTTACACACTTCAAAAGAGAAGAGAGGCCGATTGTGACCTTGCTACATGAAGGCTCATTGACCAAAAGCTACTTGCTAACATCTTTATTCCCCAAAGTCCTGTTACCCCGAGGAAGATGATCAAAGAGGAACAAAAAACACCAAAATTTGGCAATTGTCTGGTTTCTTTTAGCACCCTTGACTCAGTCTCTAAGGAGCAGGTCATCTGGATTCACAAACCAACAGGCCAAAGCCCTGTCGGAAATTAACTTATCATCTTGTTCACCAGTCCGTTTCACAACCATGATTACTTCACACGTGCAGCCGTTAGACTCTACAGCCGTGTTAGCCTGGTTAAGACAAGACGGGAATCACACTGTGAAAACAAAATCTCATTTTTCAGCCTCTGATCTTTAGAAACAGGTTGGAATAAAAGACTGATTTTTTTTTTTTAATACCAAACAGCCAGTGGCGTCTTCAACCTTTTTACACAGACATCGCTGCTCTGTTACGAGTCTTTATCTAACAAAGAGCAGTTTGCTTCGTGATGCATTTCAGGTAAGCAGCTGTACATGACAAAAACGTAGCAACACATCTTCACTGTTAAATGCTAAAATCCAATTAGATGACATCTGAGCAAACAAACGGAGGGAGTAATTTGCTTCAGTTTAACAAGAATTAAAGCAAACATATCTGCAGAGTTCAGACGCAAAAATCTGTTTAACACACAACAGTAAAGCAAGGGCCATCTGTTGTTGTATTTATTGTTTCCCACCCATTAAACTGATTAAAAGTTTAAATTGAACTCCAGTTGAAAATACCCAAGCGAACAAGGGGAAGGGATGTTTGCCTGTAACCACCGCCAGCTTTTTCTGTTGAAGCATTCTCTGCTATCGACTGCAAGTCTCAAAGAAGGTCACTTTCTCCAACACAGGCCAGGCAAAAGGTGAAATGAGACAACTGAAGCAATCTTAGGTCAATATGAAATAGAAATCTCTCAGCTATACTGTAATAAAGTTACTGAAGTGAAGTAGTGAAGCCATAAAGGGGAACTTTTACAAGGAAAGAGCTGTAGAGGAGATTGGTTCGCCCACTGGCAAACAATGGCTTCTAAGAGCTGAGGTGGCATGGTCAGTGCAGAGCCGTAGAGCTGGTTTGCAGTATTCGCTTTTAAAAGAAAGTTTGGTTTACACAAGGAATCTCATACGACCTCTCGCAACAAGAAATATTGCAATCAGACGGTGTGTAAAAACTGGGCTGTTATGTGATTAATCTAACACTTATTCACCGCTAAAGCCACTTAATGCAGGATTTACTTCTTCAGAATTCAACAAGATGGTCTCTTTAGGAGTGAAAAATGAGATTTTGATTATATCCGCACTGAAACATCTGAAGTATATGCAGGTCTCGGGCTTATTCTGTTTAATGAGATAATGTGCTGGATAGCAGATCATCAGTTTACTGAGCCAACCTGCCCTTCGATATAGGAATAGGAAAATAACAGATATATTTTTAAAGTAAAGATTTATTTTTAAGAAGATGCACGGTGGAATTATAGTTGTTCATGTTCAAAATTTTGTTAAATAGAAATTAAAACACCACCTATGAGCCGAGTTTAATGGTGTGAGTGGGCAACTACAGCACACAAACATTTGTATTGAATTGCAAAATAACAGCATTTTAAATATGTAATGAAATATGCAATTCAGCTGAGAATTAGGCCTCTGTACAGCAAGAGTCCTAGCCTTTCAAAATAAGAGTCAGCCGGTGCAAAAGTCAGTGTGGGCTATCTTGACTGAAGGCAGCCCAGAGGTCATAGAATTACACCAGTGCCTCACAACATAGGGATCATAGTGAGATATTAAGCTGCGGAAAAAAACACAGATAAAACCATCCCCTCATCATATGATATACATACAGTAGGTAACATTGTTTGTGGTGTCAGAGCGGAGCCAGGTGGACCCGCACTTGCTGACGAAAGAGCAGCACCTCCTTCACCTCCTCCTCCTCCTTGTGTCAAGGATGATGTTAATGTTTACTGTGAAAGTGCGTAGCAGCTCAGTCATGGTGAAAACTCCTGTTCTCTCCTCCTCAAGTTTTATGTACACTAATGTTATAACAGCACTGTTTAGTGGGTGCACCCTAGCAGAGCTTCACTCGGAGGCTTTAATGTCAAACATAGACTTGATTGACTCTTCCTAGTTTGACTTGAATCTCCATGATAAGGGTTTTACATGCATAAGTGTGTTTCTATTGAAAACTTAGTAATGTACAAAGCAGACTTGTGAAAAACATCATGACAATGCATTTTACTGCTGATTTGTTTTTCACAATAAAAGCCTTTGCTTGCCAGTATTTTCAAATTAAAGACGATGTGTCAAAATCTCAAACAGGAATACAGAAGAGAAACTCAACTGAAGACTGCACACAGTCTGTTAAAAGCTTAAGTGTACTGAGAATTAAACTTACAGTGACTATTAAGGCATCTTTATCTGCTGTCACACACTGACGTGAGCTGATTCTTGTGTTGCAGGTTTGTTTGGGGGAAGGCCATGAGCACTAAAATTAAACATGCATTCATAATCTTAATCATAAATGATACAGATTTCCTGCTGCAGCCGTTATACCTGTGGTGATGCTCCTCATACAGACTGACATCACTTCAAAATACAGAGACTCTCTTGCCTCTAAGTCAGAGTTTAGCTGCTTTCAAAGAGAACATTATATTCATTAAATAACCTATATTTCCCTTTTTGATTTCTATGAGCAAAGAGCATGTCAGTATTTATGAAGAAGACAAAGTATTTCTCCGAATCGGCCTTCATTACTCTATTAATATAAGACATGAGACGTGGCTGAAAACTGGCCTCTTAAAATCAGTGATTGGTTGATTTTGAAACTCACTGTTGCAGGTAAAAGCTTTGATTTTAAAAAGATGTCTTCCAGTTTTTTTCAATAATTATTGCTGCTGATGAATGATATACAAACACAAGTTACTATTTCCAGACTGGCAGGTTTTAATCTCAAGGGTTAAGGTGCTCTTCTTAATAATCTAATCCTTAATCCATCCTACTTGACATAAAGGATGATGCTTTATATAATCCAATTTAAACTTGCATGTTTTTCTCTTGATTTAAGCATCATATCAGAAAAAAACAGGACATGTGAAAATTTTACAGGACCTTAAAAAGGGAAACCCTTTTCTGCTTTCTTCATATTTAATTTTGGCATTAAACAGGCTTTAAAGACTGCAGTTTTCTTCTTGTTAACTGATACATTTTCCAGCACAAACTCCTGCCCTTTAAAAAAACAATAAAATGAAGAAGCTGTCTGTAGTTTGGAAAAAAAAAAAAACACCTGTAATTAGTAATTTAACACTACAAAAGTGGAATTGTACTTTTCTTCAGAATAAAATTGCTGGCACTGTTCTGGTATCTGTCTGTGCGTGTTGCAGCAGGGCAGCACTGGCGTTGCATCAGCGGTGTGATTTGTAAAAGCAGCAGAGGTGTTCCAATGAGAGCTGTCAGTGTCCACAGAGAGCGTGAGAAGCAGGTGGATGAGAGAGTGTCAGCCTTCAAAGAGTTCACAGCTTTGATTGAAATGAGGCAAGAAATCAAGACGGAGCGTGCAACGAAAACTATTTCTTAATAGATTATGAAAGGAGGGGAAGAAAAAAGGTTAATCTGTGGCACTGAGCAATTGTGAAAAATAAATGAGATAATTAATAGAAATTGAGAGAGAGGCGATTTAAACATTTCTTGGTCCTTTATATGGATCCGGCACTTTCAGGTTTTTTTAAATCTGTTCCTGTGGCGAGTTTAAACCAAGTGAGTTTACAGCACAAACCAGAAATAAGAATAAACAGCCGAGTGTGCAGGAGTCGACCTCAATCTGCAGCTCTGTACCCACTGTAAAGTCATCATTGTTCTACATTCTGCTGCATTTGCATGTTCAGAGTTCAACCAATTAAAAGCTAATTAATTAGACACAATTCTATTAAGAAACAAATCCCGCTCATCAATATACACAACCTGGGGTCAGCTGGTGCTCAAAATGTGACTGGAGAACGGAACAATAGCACTTTTGGAGCTCACTATAAACAGGTTGGCACAGATATGTTTGATCGAGCATGATCCCATCAGTGCTGATAGATTTTTTTACTTCCCTGGACAGAGAGCAAAGACCAGGAGGTGTCACTTGGACACACAGGCTGCTTTACAAACGGCCAATAGTACGGAAGAAGAGCCAGGTGTTCACTGTCACATCTCACAAATGCTCAAATATTAGTGCACAAACACTCCAACACCTATTTGATACTCTTCAAATGATGAGCACATTAGTGTTGTTCCACAATGCTGCAGCAAATAACCAAAAATTTGACTGAAAACAGATGAGAAAAACCTGGCTGCTCTGGTTAATGTGTTCCCATGCTGTTTGTCAAGAAGTGCTGAGAAAAATCTCCTCATTTAAAAGAATACATGTGTTAAGGTGGTGCTATAAATGCACTTTTTATTAATTGCACATCACAGAAATTTATTTAAATAAAATTGAAAAAAGCACAAACAATTTTGTTTGCTTAGCATTAGAGCATTTTACCTCTGAAATAGAGCCTGTCTATGCTTTTACAGCACATCCATGCAGTGTGATGGGACTTAATCTATCAGCTACAAATAACTGATCTGAACCAATCATGTCTTACAAAACTGCTTTTTGGATTAATTTTAGATGTATAAGAACAGAAGAAACTCTTAGAAAACTTCATCTGACAGAAAATTCACTAATAGTACTTTATTTAAAGCACTTTGACTGAAGTGCAATAAATCATATTTTATGTTTATGCTGTACATATGTAAATAAGACTCATGTACATATCTTTCTTTTCAACTCTAAGTTTTTTATTTTCTCTTTTTGTATCTGTACTTATGCTGCTGTAATTTTGAAATTTCCCCCCGTGGGACTATTTGAGGAATATCTTATCTTCACATCATTATCGTGATATTAAACATTGTCAGCGCACATTGCATGTTTTACCTGTGTTGTCCAGACTTAAAACATACACTCTAACTAAATACTCAAATGTTTAATGCATTAATACCAGACTGCAAAAAGGATGTAACAAACCCCAACTCAGGACACCGTACAATACAATACGATAAAAATTACCATTCAAAGGTGAATCTGAACCAATTCTTGTATATGAGAGGATAAAAAATGCAAAATCTAAATTTTCATGTTTCTTAATTGATTTAGCAGTTTTTCTTCTTTTAGTTTGGGAACTGTAAAGTTTAAAAAGACTAAATGTATTTCTTATTTTTGAAACAGAGCCATTTCTGACTGAAAATAATCCTGAAAATCATCATAAATCCTTTTCATGTAACTGCTGAGACTCTCACAACAACAGAGGTTTCACATCCCAGCGTATGTTATAAAGACATATATAGACGTATGTATGTGTATTCAATATCTTAAGCTTCCCAGTGTGGTGTCAAATTATGTGCTGCATCATGCTGGTTGAGTGCATTAGTCTTCTTGCTATCACTGTCTTTGTCTGTCTGATATGTTACATCCCAGATTTGACACAAGGTGACAGATTCTCAACTACAAGTCCTCACGTGTCGTCACCATGTCTGACACCAAACAAAAGAATGTGGATCAAGACAAAGCAAAAGCATCAAAGCATTTAGTTGTGTTGTTTGGGATCGTTACATCCTCACTGCACATTAAAACAGCAAGAATATGAGGCGCCTAAAATCTAGATATCATGTTTGACTACATCTGTATCTGCATCTTTTACAAGCTGCATTAAAACACAGAAAAAGGTTGAAAAAATCAAGACGTTAGAAAAGACAGGTTGTGTGATGTTTGTATTAGGATGTAATATGTGTTTACAGTTACGTTGGGAACTCTCATCCTCTTCAGCTCTGACTGATGGTCTTTCTCTGATCCCTGCAAACTCCTGACTTGTTGCCAGGACTCCAGGTTCATTAGTGCAAATAAGCTGGAAAACGTGAATGTGTGTGTGAGTGTGAGTGTGTGTTTATAATTTTTTATTGTTTTCGTGAGCCACATTTACGGCCTCTTCCCACAACAAACCCCTTTTTGGGAAACACATATCTGATTTATCGCCATAAAGAGATTTAAAGTTTAAAAACAGAATTATTGGTAATGGAAAAAGTGCTCCACGCTCTACGTTTGTGATTCTTGGATGACATCTTAAAGACTAAATCTTGCTCGATTCTTCCCTGTGCTCGGGTTGAATGTCTATCGTCCATGTGCCAGCCCCTCCGTCCGTTTCAATGAATACTTTTAAGAGAGAAGCAGGCAAACAGCCTGTTGCTGGCTGAAATATGCAAAAAGAACAACAACTCCTCAGTTTATTTGTTGTGTTTATCCTCTCTTACAGGTTATGTGCAAACTGTTAAATAAATCCGCCTCTGGCTAGAGCAAAGTCCCTTGATGAATCGCTCACAGCCTGACAGTGAAGAGTCTTAAGTATGGTGGTTTCACTTTGTTAAAGGCAGTTCAGACAGCCTCGCTCATTTGGGTATGCATGAAAAAAAACAATATCCTACTGGGAGCATTCTGGGTTTCAAACATTTGGGGTCAACTACTCGAGCAGATTCCACATGTGCAGCCTGTGGCCACTGAGGTCTGGAATCTACCTCCCTCCTGGCTGGGTGACGTTGCATGTTCTATTTCCAGACCGAGGGTTGAAGTGAGGCTGCAGGGAGTGTAACACTGACCCACATGACCTGTGGCCTAGAAAAGCTGCCTGAAGCTCTGCACTCTAAAAAAAACCCTCCTCACTCCTTTGCTGCAGCCTCTTTCAAAAGGCAAATAAAACCTTTTCGCATAACATTTGTCTTTTCATGCCAAATGATTTGCATCCGTTTTATTCACGTCTTTGACTTGTTGTCAATGTATTCTGCAGCCTGATGCTCGCTCTCTGAAGTCTCAAGTGGAAAGAGAGGGAAAAAAAGAAAGTCTAAGAGGCAAAAACTGCTTTACTTTCAGGCTCGGTGTCTACAGGCCTCATGTCTCCAGTCATCTGTCACTAGTTTACATACATACTATGACACTTCCTCTCTCTGTGGGAACCCGTTGTCACCACTTGGCCGCCAGCTGAGGCTGACTGGGTGCTAGATGGGTCTCCCCCAGGTACCTCTAGGGAGCCACATTAGGGCCTGAGCTGACAGACTGACAGGGACACGCAGACACACACTGAACCCACACAGACGCATACATCCAGTCCATCCCTTGCCCAAACCGCCTAATCCTCCTACAGTAGACTCCGGCTCACATCGTGCTCCCAAGGCATGGCACACTTTGCATAAAGCAGTGACTTTGCTCCACATCCATTTTTTTCTCCCTTATTTTTTTCCAGACGCAAAATTATTTTTCACCCCTCTAGCCTCTACATGCTACATGGAAGTTTTGGAAAAATGAATAATGGAAACAACAGAGCTGGAGACTCATGGGATCCATTTAAAGATGTGGGAGAGGCAGAGCAGTCAGGGTTTGGACAGCAGGAACATCACGCTCCCAGTAAATGAATCCGCTATTGTTCTGTACAGTATGGAAACGCAACAATAAACTGTGAACAGGCCTATAAATGTGCCAAAAATGACATAATGCTGATTTATTTCCCTTCAATAAGTAGAGTGATTTAACTATAAAAGTTAACTTTCAGCTTTATTTCACCCCAGGACACAAATGAACTGAGGGCCAAATGAGCTGGCAGCAGCGCTCAGCTGAAAAATACACCAAAAGTGCACATGTACTGCAGCTTTTCGGACAGATTAAGAGCTCTTATTAAAAAAGAAAAATCTTCAAGGCTTTGATTTTATTTTATTGGACAGTAAGGAGTGGCAGGAAATACTGGGATGAGAAAGTGCGGTCTAAGTGCCCCGAACGGCCAAGAGTCTAAGCTAAATCTAAGAAAAATGCAGCACAACAGCACAAATGGTTTGATTTCTCTTACAAAAGTGGGAGTTTGAACAATGATAAGCTTTTTCTCAGTACAAAAAAAAAAAAGAAAAAGAAAAAAAACTCTGTTTGGTATTTCCACCTTGCCTCCCCAGATACTTAAAGTGGAAGTGAGCAGGCGATCACGGGGCAGTCCACTGTTCCAGCTATTTTAGAGCATGCAAAGTCAACACGACTCCCCGAGGTGATTTCCTGATAATGAACACAAAAGAAGTGTCAGCCCTCATAAAGCTCTGCCATGATGCTGAACTCTTGAGTGCTCATTTTTTTCTTTTTTGCACTCTTATTTTTCTGATTTAAATTAATCTAATTCCGTGTGGACTCTTAGAGGGACTGTCAAATAGGCCACCTGCCAGGCAGCGAGGCTTCTAGTGACTATTCACTTACACCGTGCAAGTCAGACTCCAGCTGTTGGACGAGGGGAAAAGGAGAGCTGCTTTGTGAATTTGGATGGTTGAAATGTTTTAATTCAGCTTTATTTTTGTGTCATTTATGTTAAGTCTGCAAACGGCTCACAGCTCCCCCCTCATGAGCTCCAGCTGCCTCAGTGAAACAAAAGCTTGGTTTGGGAGTATTCTGTAGACCAACGCAGCGTTTTCCACAGTAATCAGCTGGTCACTATAACAACAACATAACACCCCTGGCTCTGGACCCCACAATACACACTCATCCTGCCTCACTTCTGTGATTGCAGCGCAGTGTCACTGCAGACACCCGCTGCGCCGCTGCAGCCTGACACCTTAAACCTCTATGGCAGCACCCCTCCATCCCCTTCTCCCGTTCCCCTCCACTCATCCTCTTCATCCTCCTCCTCCTACTCCCTGCCCCTCTCCTCCTTCCCCCCTCCACTCTCTACACCATCAGGCATCAGACCTCAGCCCACCCTCTCCCGTCCCTGGCACTCAAGGCTCCCTCTGCCAGCACCTGGCACCGGGCCAACCTGTCATCCACCCTGACTCCACGCAGGATGAATGAAGGAATCGCTGCGTTAAAAACCACGAACACATCTCTAAAACACATCTCATCTGATTACTGACTCAGTTAATTGTATCAAATATCAATTTGAGTCAGTCAGAATGAAATGTGATGTCAGAGACAATGGAGAGCAGTCAAAAGAAAGCCTTTAGTGCTTAAAGCAAATATGTCTTGACTCTAAATTGCGTGTATTAATTCACCCTGTTATATGCTAATACTCTGTCAAAATAAAACAGTTGACAGACTTTAAAGCCCAACTTCTTATTTTGCTCTCAGTTTCCTATTTTATCTTTTATTAAATTTGGGTTCGGTAACATTTTTTTTTGCTGAATCAAAGCGGCTTGGATCACACACTCTTGGTGTTATCATAATTTTGGGTCATATTGATTAGGAGAGGTCGGCTCAAAGACAAATTTTAAGAATCTGACTTTTAAGAAGCTACATTTCAAACACCTTAAATCTACATACAAAGAGAGGCGGTTTAAAACGCTCTTCTGTTGGACCAGAATGGCGGCCTTGATCGCCAGATTAGTCAGACGCTGTTTCAGAAGACAAGACACAGTAAACTACTGAGTTCCCCTTTTCCCCTTGTGAAAGGCTCTCTCACAATATGAAACTCCCAAACAGCATGATATATAAAAAACACCTTGGAAGGAGGACAGCAAAAACACCTCTTCACCAAGGTTGTTCAATGATAAGCAGCAGTGCTCAGGCACACAATGACGCCTCAAAGAGTCTGCAATTTCAAAAGTAGTGGAACTGTGGATTAGATTTATCAGAGCCCTTAAAGACTGATTATTCACTGCCTGAAAGAAACTGTAACTAATATAACCAAATACTGACTTTTACAACATGGCATAATGTCTTAATGTTCAAATATGGTCCATTATATGATATCAGAGCAACTGCGATACAAGCCAAAATCAGACATTACCAATGATTGTCAAGGGGTGTAAAGACGACTACATAAACAAGACAAGAACTATGGAAAAAATATTTGGCGAGACCCACAGAGATCAATTTATAGCCAGGCATCAATCCAGGCGTTGTGTTTCTTTCTCAAACTAAAGATAGACACATTTCCAAATCTTTTTGTCCTCTTGAAAAAGAAAACAGACTTTAGCATGTCTAATTAAAATGTAAACAGTGTAATGAGGACATCAGTGATTTAGGCAAACGTCTCTCTCCGGCTGCCACTGGGGGTATGATAATTACCGAGGCAAATCTATGAATGCACATGAATCTCCTACAAGTCCAGATTAAAAGCCTTAGTGCTAAACCTAGTTTAGTACACCTGGGGATTGTCTATTCTAGCCAATCCCCAGCAGGCTCTGCGCTGCCTTCGTCTCCTTATGAGTGCAGAGACACCTCAGATGAAACAAAGCCTGTTTCAATGTGTTGGGAAGGAGGAGGACGAGGAGTTTAAGGCAGTGAATGCAACATTGTGTAAATGATATGCTTTGGCCTGGATAAACCTGCCATAAAAACATGACTTATGAACATGTTTTCTGTTATAATCAGTCATTTAGTGAACACTATAAGCTCTATAAGCCCCCTGTGCATTATGGTATGGCTCATTATAAGATTATAGGATGTGTCTGTGAGGGATATTTGTCTTAAAAAAAAGGATATAGAAAGAGAACAGGGCATTTCATCTTGAGAAAAATGGTGCTGCAAAAATAAAGCATGCACAAATAGATACAGACCTGCATACATGCAAAAAGAGCATGCACACACACCATGCATAAAAACATGCATGCACAAATCCTACAGAAAAAAACTATACATTTAAAAAATACGTGCTGAACTAAAAGCAAGAAATATCAAGGAGAAAATCTACGGCTAAATATCCACTTGCTTCCCTACATGTAATCTTTTTTTAATCCATATGAAGCAGCGTGAGGAGTGTGTATTTTGTTTGATTCAGAGGCAGAAATAACACTTCAGGCCTGTACCTAGCAGACATGTGAAGGGTAAGTACAAGCAGCCAGTGGTAGGCACATGCATTTTAGAAAATGTCTATGCCATATGCTGTCACTCAGAGGAAAAGAAGAAAAAAAAACAAGTCTGAGCAGACAGTCGCTGTGTCTAAATGAGATGGTAGGAGGAGGAGGAGGAGGAGGAGGAGGGGGAGAAAAAGGGAGGATGTCAAGGATTCATGGTCCTTCATCTTTGCAGTAGAGCAAACACGTCCCTCAGTATAGCAACAGACAGCTGCCTCCACTTTCTAATGCAGTCCAACTTAGATCAGTGCAGGAATTGTCAGTGCGGAGAGAGAAACACACAAAGATAACATAGCAGGCTGCCATGAGGGAAACGACAGAGATGTGAATACAAGATGGACAGACACATGGAGAGAAAAAGAAGGAAAGGAAAAGGAAAAGGAGGGAGGGGGAGCGTGGAATACTTGTAGGTTTTTTTTGTCCCTTTTGCTAATGTCTTCCGCCTCCATTGGGGACTCCCTGGCTTTTTATATGACAAATAAAAGACACCACTTAACATATCTGCTCAAAGATGACAATCCTGCACTGATCTAATACAACACAGTCAAAAGGGGCTGAGTGGGATTTTCATGTGGTTCCAGACAAATTGATCCATCAGTAAAGATGAGTATTTCATCAATTTACAGCAGCGCTACAGACATCCCAGGGGGTGTTTACACAGAGACCGGCTCACGGTATTCAGGAAGATGCCTTTAATTGTCATCATTAGAGCACACATAGAAAGTGCCGGGCCTGTCATACACACATTCTGCTTGTAGTAATGGTTCAAGTGTGGCTGTCAATTTTAGCGATCAGCCGTAATAGTCTCACACAGGTCAGGTTATAGACGAATTATTTGGAGCAGCTTCTCTTCTTCATGCAGCTACAGAGTTTAGAGACTTGTAAAAGACGCGTGCAAAGGATGTGTTTGTGTTTGTGTTAGTGAACCCTGACAGTGAATTGACTATAGCTTATAAATTCTCTGTATGTAATAATAGCTGTAACCTTGGACAAACATGAACAAGGATTTTTTTGGAGAAAAATAGTGCACCTCAAAAAAAAAAGAGAAAAAAAGGAGAGAAAATAGAAAAAGCTGGTGTGGCTTTTTTTTTTTAATTGTGCATTTAGACTTTAAACCTACATTAAAAATGTTTGTTAAATAAATTTGTATAATTCTATAAAATAAAGAAGATATACTAACGGCGCCATAAGGAGAAAACCTTGTCATTGCAACAGTCTGCAAGCAACTCCTCTCTCGATATAAATCAACTAAATATAACAACTATATTTTTAAATCTTTAAGTCACTGGGGGAAAAAGTGGGCGCATTTATTTAGTTTCCTCTACACAACTTCTTGCTATTATTTACAGTCACTCTTAAAAGTGTGAACATGTGTGACACCCCGGTAAGGAGGGGTGATGACAACAGGAGGGGTCAGCATCTGTTGTCAAATTCGGTACAGAGATTTCGTGTCAGTGCGACAGCTTAGATAGCTATCATAAGTGCTCTCCTTTCAGAAATAAACAGAGCTGTCAGCTGCTTTTCCATGCACAGCGGAAGGTGTGTGGGGTTAAATAAGGACCTGCAAGAATCACCTCACACGCTGCAGGAGAGCACACATGGAGCCTTGCATGGCTTATTTGCTAATTAGGATATTAAAGGTAAAAGATCTGAGAAAATGTTTTGGGGTTGTTTTGGGTGCAGAAAGATAGTCATAAGAAAGAGAAGTGGCTCTTAACTTTTGAAATTGAATGTAACTTTAATTCTATGAACACAAATCTAGAGATAGAGAATCACTCACAATTATTTGCGATCCAGTTTATATCCGACTAACTCAAACCGCAGATGTTTTCTCGTAAATATACCCACACACATTAATGCGAGGAGGGCTAAATATGAAACACATAAAACTCTGACTAACACATTTAAAACCCACTTTGCAAAAACACATTACAACCAAACACTCCAACATAATGAACGTGACTGTAATGTACATTTTTTTTTCCTCTCCACTGAGTGACGGATGCTGCGATGCTGTTATTTTTCTGAAGAGGAGTGAAAACATACTTCAGCTCACTGCTGATGACGGTTAATTTCCTCTCCAAGCAAAACATGCAAATGAAATGTGTGGACACAATTAAGTAAATTGTTCAGTGCAGGTTGGAAAAGGTTTTACTGGGGGAAGCGTGTTTGGGAAAAAGAAAGACACAACTTGTTACTTTCTCCTGACTTTCTCTTTTAATGCTGAGCTACATTTAGAGTGTGACAAGTGGTTTACAGCTACTTCTGATGCTGCAGTTGGACTTATGTGGAGGGAATCAGATTTCAAGTCCTTATTGAGCTGTTTTACAGAGCAGCAACTCAATCAAAACACAGAAATATTCTTAAATTAAGTGTAAGACAAGATCAACTGCAATATTTCTTAAAGTTGTAACAAGATGTGAAATTTTGTTTTATTGTTTTTACTTGAAAATCATTTTTTATATCAACAGTTATTGATTAAAATGTCATGAACTGAAATTAAATTTATGTTTTTATATAAACAGCAGGCATGAAGACAGATGCAAAATATTCTTTTTAACATTAATGAGATATTTGGAGCTGCAGCTTTGCCACACATTTCTAAATATTTTTTTTTAATCTGTAAGAATAATATTATAAGTAGATTATTTAAGGGGCAGTTATTGAGTCAAAATCCAAACAAAATAAAAAAGTAAATTTCTACACAAAAAGTGGATTTAAAATTTGAAATCTCTCTTTAAATCATATCTATTACCCAATAGAAACCTGGTGCTATTGTTAGAGATATGTTTGTATTTTTCATACACTGATATAGTTATTAGAGCTGTGCATGCAAAAATGAGAAAGTAGTGCAATAAGAATGAAAAAGTTAAGCAGCAAATCAAGAATGAAGGGAAGCAAAAACAAATACAAATACTTCCCTTGACAAGTGTTTATAAGATTAATCACATTTATGGTTAGTTTTTAATGTGCCCCAATCTTGACAGCATGACCACTATTATATCCACCCCAAATAATTCAACTTTTGATGAGCCAAACATGCACAAACACACAAAAACATTACATTATGTGATACAGCCTCATCTAAAATATGACATGTAATAACAATAATATGGTGATAATTGCAAAATGGACATACCATAAATACTGGTGCTAGTGATCATGTCTTCAAGCCTAAAAACAAGAGGAGAAGGGGGAAAAAGGCAGAATCGGAATTTTCACGAGGAGGAATTCCAAAGGTTGCTTCTCATTACAGGCACTTTTTTCCCTCAGCTATCGGATTTCACAAGTTTAAAAAACGCACGCTCCTTTCTTCTGTCCTCGGCTGGTCATTCAGGACGTTTAATTAAGGACAAACATGCGGCTTCAAATTTTGAGAAAAAGAGAAGGAAAAAAAATTCACATAGCCGTGGATGGAGACGCGGAATAGAGGCACACATTCACGGCTGCAGCCTGTCACTTCTTGCGCGAGTTGGAACAAGAGGATAGGAAGCATGTGAGAGACTGTGGATGACATAAAACACACATTCTTCACGCCGCCTATTAGAGGAAGAGGCTAAAGCAGCGTGATGCCCCCCTGCACACCCTCCCTTTACTTTTAAAATAGATTACTTGCCAGCAGTTGTCCCACTAAGAGCGCAATGACAATCCATCTATTAGCCTCCCGCCTGCGGATATCGCTGCAAGTTTTATTAAGACTGACATGCAAAAACTTCACGATGCTGCAAACTTATTCAAGAGGCAGGTTCCAGCCGTATAAATGCAAACATCTCCTGAACTTGGTAGTATTTCTAGAGTATTCCTCACAGCGCTGACAAATAATTTCGGCTCAGAAAATGCGGAATAACTGACCACGGACTGCGCTGCAGCTCCGTGACGCGCGACACAGCCTCCCTCTCCGCGTGCGTAACGTTACAGCCCTGCTCCGTTTCTCTTTCTAATTGTCAACATCACTGAGAGACAGAAGAATAAAACTTACCTGTGAAGGTGACAGGGCAGCGTCACGGCTTATAACACCATCGATCCGGTAAAAGTGTGCACGTGAACGGCTGGTACGAGCGGCTGAAAGGTTAAGCGTGGCTGCTCGCGATTTGAAACCATTCCAAGTTAGTGAAGGGAAGACTGACCACAGCCTCTGCCATGTTGGAATTCCAAACCCTGGACAGCTGCTCCACTGACTGAAGGCAGCAGCACGCGCCGCACTGCGCATGCTCACTGCAGCGCGAGCCAAATTCAAAGAGAATCAGCCCTAATGAGCAGAGGTTCACGGGAAGCCTATCATGACAACGTAATTCTGTAGTTTATGTGATTTATTAACAGTTTAATTGTAGCCTACTGTCCGCACGCACCACTGAACTGCCTCTTTTTTCCCGAAGCTTGTCTGCTGTGTTCAGAGCCTATTAGGACACAGTTTCCTCCATGGAATATTCCTTTGTATTCAGCTGCAAATATGCAGTGTTTTTCAGAGTTTGCACTACTTTTATATTGTAAAACACTAACCCTTTTCCCTTGAGACTGTAAAAAGATACAACCAATTCCTAAGATAGTAGATAGTTTCGCATGCTGTTTGTGGCATTCTTCCACGCTTAATAAAACAATTGTTCAGTTGTCACCTTTTTGCAGAGAGAAAAATAAGATGTCGCCTCACAGCAAGAAGGTCCTGGGTTCGAATCCAGCTCAGGGTGTTTCTGTGTGGAGTTTGCATGTTCTCCCTGTGTCTGCGTGGGTTTAAGGTCCTTTCACACTGGGACCGTTTTTGTTGTGCGATTATTTCGGATGTCAGTATTTTTTTCCGAACCTGTATCCTGTCAATACAAGCGTTCACATCAGCAATGTTTTCCCATCCTGCAATATTGCGGCATGTATTTTTTCAGATCATGGTCAATTTTTCAAAGTTTCACATACTGTGTGTCCACTTCTGACCAATCAGATTGCATGTTGTTGCGACGTCTGATTGACCGGAATATCCAACATGGCAGACCAGTTGATTGTTTACGTGTTGGAGAACAGAGTGCTTTTTGATAAAAGACACAAACATTACAAAGACAACACCCTGAAGGACAACTTGGGTATCTCTCATATGACGATGGTTTGTGTGTTTTAAGTTTGCTAAATGTCTTTGTTTTAACTTTCATCTTCACTAACGTAAGCTAATGGTTGTTAACATAGTTTCATGTGCTTAACTTATCGCCTCTGATTGGCTATAAGTGCTGACCATGTGGCTTGAGCGTGTGGTGAAGTTTTCTGCTTTTGTAGCCAATCAGAGGCGAAGGAGGTGGGACTTTCCCCGGTAAAAGTCTTCCCCGGGATGTGTCTTTTACCCCCCGGAAAGTTGCAAAATTGCATCGGGCTTGATGTGTATAGTCAGGTGTGTCAAAATTCGCCTCAGAATATTTCGTAATTTCGCATTCTACATTCACGTCGGCCCCGGTGTGTGAGGATCTTTACTCCGGGTGCTCCAGTTTCCTCCCACATCCCAAAAACATGCCTAAGTGGGGTTAGGTCAATTGGCCACTTTCAAATTGCCCATAGGTGTGAACGTGAGCATGGATGGTTGTTTGTCTCTATATGTCAGCCCTGCGATTAACTGGCAACTTGTCCAGGGTGTCCCCTGCCTTCGTCCGAAGATGCTGGGATAGGCTCCAGCCCCCCCATGATTCCTAACGGGAGTAAGCGGTAGAAAATGGATGGATGGAAAAAATAAGATCGATGCAAATTATCCATGGTTTATTTTACAGTTGCCTTTATGACTTTGCTAGGAGCTCAGTATAGACCTGCAGTGTTATCGCAGGTATGCGTGCGCAGCCTTGGGGCACAAATCGTGACATTTCTTATTTGTTTACTAGCAGAGTCAACGAATCGGCAAAACAAACCATCAGCAAACATTACGACCCTGCTCCTGATAATGGAAACATCTAAAACAATGTCAGTGTGTTTTTCTGATTTTGAAGCAATGAAAGACAAAGCGATTTTTCAGAGAAATAACATTTTATTGCAATTGTGTCAAGGAGAACTTGCAAACAATACGGCATCTTCATTGATATCACCTCACTTCGAAGCAGGCTTTTGCCCATGGTTGCAAGCGCACCTAGTATTGTTTGTACACAAGAAACCCGTCTATAAAGATGCCTGCTTGAGGACTTACTAAACTTAGCCACAGCAGGCTGGAAGTGCTGTCTTTTATTTCCTCATACTCTTGGTGCATGATTACAGAAATGTCCCATCACCTCGAAGTTGTTTTATCAAGAAAAATTCTTTTAGAAAACAAAAAAAAAAAAAATCATTGAGTAAAAGCTGAACTGGCTGATTGACACACACTTCAGCAGGCTTTTTCTCCAGCCCATCTCCAATATCTGTGAACGGCCTTGAGAGACGGGGTTGATCTGGACTCCTTTGGACCTTAGTTGTTAGGTACGTGATAAGAAGATTGGTCTGAAAAAAGTCCCATAATGGCCTTTCATATCCATACCCAAGGCCCTGGGAGTGATGCATTGATTCAGCCTTCAGTAGCTACTCCCTTGACTGCATCATGCTAATTCTATCTGCATGAGTCCTTTGGAGAAATCCTACCCAAAAGGCAGGACACAGAGTGACCACTGAGCTGCTGTGAACAATACAAGCTTGAGCTCAAACCATCCCTGTGTTATTCTCTTTGTTTCCACACATTTGGGTTTACATTATCACCGTGATACATGAGCTGTTTGCGAACTATGACATTGAAAAACTCATAAATCATCAAACTCAAAAGAAATCACAATTCCTGTATGTGTTTGGTTTCATTAGCTTGTGGTGCTAATCAAATGATGATGCCGATTTGACCAGATGTGATTGTCCGGCATGCTCGTAGGACCAGCCTGTAAAAATCTCTGTGTGCTGCAGAGGTCACAGTGAAAACAACAGCGGTGCATTTCCAGGTGTGGCCACGTCCATTGTCTCCTTCCTCATATGGGCATGTTCGGTCTGTGCCTTTGTCCTTGTGTCAGCAGGCAGGACATTCTGAATTATTTTGCTCAGCTGCCTCCCTGAACTCTTGCTACAGCACGTCAATACACACATCATGCAGACAGCCGCACACACAGCTGCAGGGAGCACAGTTCATGTCCATCACACGTTTCAATCCTCCTTGACACGGATCAAACCTGCAGGAATAAAAAAGTTAGCCGGTTGCTACGACTTGATGTTAGGGAATTAACGACCAAAATTAGGTTATGTCTTCTTTTTCATGTGTTAAAAAGATAAAAATATGTACGATTAAATCAAGTTAATGCAGTATCTGAAAAACACATTACTCACCTCCTAAGGGAAGCATATCAGACTTATTTGTGAGCCAATATCAAGCTATATATTTATGTTTATTACACCTGCAATCATTGCAAAAATAAAAATGACTGAATTTAAAAGTCTTGTTGATATCTACTTCTTGTACACACACACACACACACTCACAGTGGGATTGTTCATTTCCCCAGGAATGAGGTTAGGGCTTTACATGGCACGTGACCGGCTGTTTTCTAACCTTCTGCCTACAGACTCTTATGTCATGTGTGATCATTTCAGCAATGTTGCTGCATGTTTCTGCAGAAAAACACAGACTTTGGAGAAACCAGCTTTGTGCCGCAGACACTTGCATCTTGATTTCTCACAATTTCACGTTATTTCCCCTGATTTGTTTCTTGACATTGATTGTGATAATAACCGCATGTTGCATTAACTACTGAACAAAATGCAAGTATACTAAGTATTTACACTGGCAAAGTAATGCATCCCCCTTTACAAACTGTGTTTATATTTTCCATCATTACACAACTAAACCAAATGCGATTTTCATGGCATGATGCTGTAAACATCATTTGCAGAGATGCGCTGTGTCTCTGGGCTATCACAGGCAGTGATCCTCATCACAAATAGAGATCTGCGAGAAGAAATAATACACACACTGAGGCTGTAATCTAGCCACAGTAATGAAACATTTTTACTACAAAAGAGCTGCAGTCATTATAAAAAGAATGATGAGCACAAAGTAGAAAATTACAGGCTTGATTTGCCACATTATTCCAAGATGTGTATCCCAGTCCCTGCGCAGACTGGGGCTAAAATCCTAATAGGGACAAGCTTGAAGTGAATAGAGCCCACAGAGGATAAGCTACTAAATCTCGCAATAAAAGCAATGTGATTTACAGTAAATTCCACAAGGCTGACAGAGCCACAGCTGAGGGCATAAACACTCCTTTCAATGCTGCGCCTCGGTTCTGTCTGCTGTGAACTACAATCACACAGGCGTGCCGCTCAGCAGCGCTGACTTTGATAAATCACCAGGAAGTCCCACTGTTGGCTTCAAACTAGAACTTGTTCAGTTGCAATTCTGCATTTGTCCCTCTTTAATGTGTATGGAAGTGGCTTTAGCAGTAATCTGTCAGTGATTGATTAGGTGTAGCCAAATCCCGCTCTCTGTTCTCCTCTGCTGGCTCGCTGTGCAGACACAGATGTGTATTTACAGGAAGATGACTGTGTTAGTAAAGTGGCTGCTTTATTTACCTGCAGCAGGAACATGGTGACTTTCACTGGAGCGACTGAACACACAGGCAGGATGGCAGGAAAACAAGAACTGACATGCTCTCTTCAGTTGTATTCAAGCACCAATGGACTTAAAGACATGTTTCAGAAGTAAAAATCACACCTTATCAGCCAACCATGTTTGTCTCATCAGAAATTCATTAAGACACCTTAAAAATACCCAGAATACTTTTATGCAGCACATTAAAATCTTCCCCCTGCTAAAAGGTAACAGAAATGTATGCGACTATTACAACATATTTATTTGGTATGTGACACAAGAGGTTGAAAAAGCAATTTAGACAGGGTGCCGGGTATTGATCACTCTCACCAACAGATCCATTTTAATTAAATATTAAGAGAGCTTGCTGCATTGATGGCGACTGAGTGTCCACTGTTTCCTGGGTTTCTTTGCTGTCATTTCCCCCCCAAAAAAGACACGCTCTCATAACACTCACACATAATTAGACCTGAAGTATTAAAGCAGGTTTCGGGGCATTTTGTATTCAAAGAATATTTTCGTTATTTTTTAAAAAGAAGCTCTGAGCATGGACATCCGTGCATGAATTTTAATGGAGATACTTAAATGGTAATTATTCCACTCAGGCTCAAACGCAGGTAACAAATGGAATTCAATCAGTGTCCGTGCATAATGATGGTCATTAGGAGAAAGAAAATAATA